GCATCATTTTACTTCAGATTCTTTTTGATTGATGCTGTAAGGCAATTGTAACCATGGATGATGGGATTAAGTGCCTCTTGAAGTGACTTTAGCTTCTTGTGGGAACAAAGGGAAAGAAGAGAACACTTAGTCCCTTTTTGAGTGAACAGCCTTTTTTCACTTGCTATATAAAGAAATACAATTAACAAACATTATCCCCAGAGGTGAATTGAAATGTACATGCGGACAATAACCGCTCTTGACTGCAATTAGACATATATGATCCGAGGTATTTTGGCCATTCATTAGTGCTAATTGTTTGAGAAACAAGCCCAGAGAACAAATGATTAAAATGTTAGTGCCATAACCAGGATTATTAGCATGTGTGATAAAATGCATGCGCCGCAGCTGTACCAATAAAACTCTCTGGCGAGTCGCTTTGATTCGACAACTACTCAGCTCGGCTGTGAGCCCTTCGTATTTGCACAGGGCCTGCTGATGTTTATAACAAACAACTTGTATCTTCTTTTCTTAATTAGAAAGAATTACTATGCAAATTGCGGGTCTGTGTAATTCCACAGAAGTTTCTTTGTCTTTGGCAGATTATTTGTGTGTTGTTTTGTTGTTTGCTACTGCCTAGTGACTTCAACATTAGGAAAACCATTATATTTACTCTGGAGTGGGGTGGTTTTGTGCACATATCAGAGAAATCGTTTGTAGAATTTTGCTACATTAGCTGGGTCTTGTTCAGGGGGCGTTGTGGGTCTTGGGTCACTTCTGTCCTTCTCCCACAGCACCGCAGACATCCAGGATTGTGACTGGTAGGCACGGGGATCATAGACTCGTGCGTAGAGATCAGAAACACATGTTGTGGGAATTATCCAGCTTTTTTAATAGTTTTAATCAAGTGCCTGAAAATGAGCCTCGGAACACTTTGCCAACACCATGCCAAAGATTGTAGAAGAAGAGACTTGGCCTTCTGAGCAATGTTTTAGGCAGTTCCCAATGTAGCATCTCCTCCAGGGGTAATTTGATTTAGCAAATAAACAGGGAACAGAGGAACAGGTTAAAGTGCTGAAAATCACTTGTGGGAGTACTTTACTTCTGAGCTATATGTTGTTGGCTCCAATGAGCCTGCACAGGTGTGTGCAGTTAAGTGTATGTGTGAGTATGAGCAACACTGGAATGTGAAAATGCAGTTTATAGCAGGGAAATTTGCATAATTGGGAGTAATTTCACTGGCTGCAGTCACAGTGTATGGCTGCCATTGCAAAATCCAGTGTCTCTTAGTAATCAAAAAGGTTTTCTTTTCTCCTTCCTGAGGATGAACTATTCACTCTTGGGTGAAATGGTTCTCAGAGGACCATGAGTAACTTTAATTTGCCAGCTACTTTTACATATTTGATGAAGACTTTACTAGAGTGTTATGTTTGCTGAAGAAATCTAGTTTTATTTCCAAGACCCAAGAGCACTCAGCATGCTGCTAAATGCTATGAATGAAAATATGCTGCTGTAAAACGATTTAATGAGCATTACCCAATAGCCTAGTCCTTATTTTAACTTACAGTGCTTAAAGGAAGAAACATTGTCTTAGCAAATTCACTTGGCTTTTGTCCATGTGTTCAGTTTAAACCATAGTCAAGCTTAGTTTGAATCATTAAAATACTTGGAGTCAGGAAACATATGTAAGATTTTCTTCTGCTTTATGGCACAGGGTTAACAATATAATCGAGATCGCAGTGCTGTGTGGGTTTTTTGTCCTAAAAAAGTAACTGCTGGGGATTTTTTTTATTCTATCAAAAGAACAGAAGTCAAGATAATCATGATAGTGTTTCCTACCAGAGTAGCTAACTGCTCATATATAGAGCACCCCGGGCCTTGCCACTGCTTTAAAAAGGTCTATAGGCAGATGGATTTCTTAATAAATCCACGTCTTCCTCTAATTTTCATTTTATTATAGAACATAAACTACGACTATGCAAGGAAAATGCACAGTAATAATTTAAGAATATATGTCAAAGCAATAGCATGTGAAAACATTTACTGCAGTCTTCTAGAGCTCTTTGTTTTGAAAAGAGAAGGATTCTGTGCTGGTCCACTGACACTAGTTTCTCCTGTAAAATTTTTTTTCCGGCCATACCTCTTGAAAAAATTCTTGGTTCTTCAGCTTGCTAAAATGTCCCATAAAACAAATAATTTGACATACTGACAGTATATTTCTTATAATAAGAAGAAATAAATAAATAAAATAATCTTTCCTGAGAAACCTGTGTTTCGAGCCTATGTGGCTACAGAGTTGGTTAGCTTAGGAGGAGATACCAATAGTCAGCAGGCAGTGAGGGGTTTTTTCTGAACCTATTAAGTGATGGTGTTTCAGTGGATTAAATCTATCACTTCTTTGGAGTCAGGTGGTCTGCTGTGGAAGCTGTACTGCTCCTCCATCTAAACACAAGTTCACAGACCTCAGTGGTGACACAAGACTAAATCTGGTCTGCAGGTACGGATGCTTTTACCTACACAGTACTACACGTCATTGTGTGTGGTATGCAGAGCGGGGTTGCCTTTGTGGGGCTAGCAGCAGTGAGAGGGAAATGGGCCAGTCAAACAGCCCTTCGTTTGATGACAGCCCAGAAGGAATCCCGGGAAACTTGTGTGACAGAAGATACATCTCATCTCAGCATGCTCTGAGATTATGGTGTTAGCCACGTCTATCAGCTTTCTGGTGGGTTGGAGGGTTGGTGAGAGGCAGTCATTAAGGGTGCTTCAGGGACTGCTTGGCTCTAGGCTGGAGTTAACTATTAATGGGCTGAGCTCTTTGACTCCTTTGTGCCGCTGGAAACCACAAGGTTGAAGCCATCAGAGAAAGCGAATAGAAACTAATCACTTTTGTCCCCTAAATATGTTTAGCGAAGGACAGCAGACTTCTTTACTGACCTCTGTGTCACACTGAAAAAAGATCCTCCTCTTTCCATTTGAGGTAAACCACTCTTCCACCTCCTCCTTGCTCTCCCAAAGTGTACTACTGCGAGAAAATGAGATTAAGTGGATTTAACTAGCAGGCACTTGAGTTACAACAAGTTTTGTTACCATACCCACTTTAACCTGAAGCAGGGGACATGAAGTGGTTTGTGGGAGAGGGGCAAAGAGAGTACTTGGGAGACACTCAGTGGATCTCAGTTGCATGTCTCCAAGTGTTGTTAGAACCTCCACCACCTGAGTCTTGAAGCTATTGCACTTTGAGATGAAGAAGACTTATCACCAAGAGTAACACTTGCACTTGTAATAAAATAATTTCTGCTCAACAGCCAAGCTGCCCCATTCCTTAGGCTGAATGAAGCATTACCAAGCATGTTACAAAGAAGAGTCTGGCGTTGGGTTTTTGTGGGATCATAAAGTCAGTTCAAACAGGATATGCAGAAACGCAGCAGTGGAGATGGTAGAATAGTTTTCCTTTTCAATTTTGTTTACTGAGGTAAAACGTGATAAAAGCTTTCCTCAACTTTTTAACCCAAGACTTATATTCAGCTTTTAGGGTGCAAATCCTAGGGGAAGAGAGGGTTCTTCAACAGATTCAGCTTAGAAAGGCAAGCATTATAGCAGCCTGTCAGTGATATACCATCTTGACCCTGATTCAGATTGACTGAACTCATTTCCAAGCATTTGAGAGCTTTAATCATGTTCACTTTGAAGAAAACCCACGTGTGTGTAGCCACATGTCATCCAAGTGTAGCAACATGGGAAGCATTATTAAGAAGGGCATAGGAAAATGCATGGATCCCTGATATGATGCGATAATGGCATGTTCAGCATCATGCTAGAAAAGCTTTGTATTATTCAAAGTGGTGAATAATACACATGATAATGCATAATGGTGTTATATAGTAGGATTATTTTGTGGCATAAGTGCCTTGTGCTGAGTATGATGGCAAACTGTATTATTTTGTCCTCATTTTTGGTGTAGCAGAATAGCCTTGGGGGTCACACTATGAAATGGGGAGAAGTAGGAGCAGGCAAAGAGGTTTTTTTTTTTGGAAGACCATGAATCACAGTGGCACCCTCTGCAATTTATTTCTCAGTGCTTGTAATTGTGGAGCAAAGCAAGCTCCCCACCACCCTTGAGAGCAGCCTCACCCAGCAGTCCTACTGCCTCCAACTGCACTAACCCAGCTCATGCCTGAGGCAAGTTAGCTGGGTCCTCAACATCGACACAAGGTGGAGACCACCACAAACCTGATGCCTGTGGGCCACATAAGTCACCCGCTCAAGCCACATGACACCACTGCAGTGTGGTACACAAAGCATTTACAGATTTTAAAAGGCACCAGAGCCAACAACCTGATGATGATGTTGGTGGGTTTATGAGCTCTGTCAATGGGTCTGAAGGTCTGAAGGCTTCTGAGAGAATGCATTAAGATTAGTGAGGTTCCACATTACACGGGGTTTTCATTCCTGTTTTCCTCATTTTCCCCTCCATCCATTTTGCTTATTTAAAATTTGCATGCAAATGTGTTTGTTGATATAATGCCAAGGTTGCAAAATCAACTTCACAAACCCCTATTTGCTTTACCAGCACCCCTGCTTCATTCCCAGCATGGTGTCCAGCTCCTGCAGAAAACGTGGCAAATAGCAGCCTCCTCTCTAAAGCAGTCCTGATCTGTTCCCAGCACAATCTGCATCCTACGGAGGAGTCCTATGACAGGAGAAAAGCCAAGCACCACACTTCTGTATTTCATACTTGCCATAGCACCCAGAATGGCCAGAATAGCTAAGGTTGCAGGGATAACCTCAGCCCTGGCAGGTCTTCAGTTATGACTCTTTATGTTTGCAACTTCTGTTGAACATAGTAGTTTCAGAGTTTTATACTGTAATTAACTGTAATATGGGTGTATCCTTACCTTCAGTCTTCCTAAGGGGCGGGGGAGGGGGGAATGTATGAATATAGTGTGTGAATTTTAAAATATAGTCAAATATTATTTGCAGCATTGTAGCCAAAAGTCTAATTTTAACAATATCATTTACAGGGTGAATTCTCCTCTGCCAGCTGGTGTTCCTAAGCTTAGTTATCACTTTGCATCATCTCACAAGTACGTTCCCAGACGAGCTGTGCTGTATGTACCTGGGGATGATGAAAAGAAGATACGAAAAATCCCGTCACTGAATGTAGACTGTGCAGTGCTGGACTGTGAAGATGGTGTGGCTCTGAACAGAAAGGTAACTAAAAATTATCTGTGTGATACAATCAGCACTAAAGAGAACTTGCGGGAAAACATTGCCTTTGCCTTGGGGAAGTGACAACCAAAGAGACAAAGATCTTAATCTCGAGATATGCAAAGTAATGTCACAGTACTAAGCTTTGTGAAGGCGTTGGGAAAGTCTGGTTACCCAGAACTCTGTGTGAGTAAGTGGGGAGGGAGTTTTGAAGGAATACAGAATTGGACATAAGCTCCAATCACAGAGGAGTGAAAGATACTGTCATTGTTACATCATATTTCTTAGGGAAGAAGACAAAACAGTCTGTAAGAGGAGAAGTGGGAAAAGAAGAGTTAGTTCAGAACCACCAGGTGGCCAGTTTATTATTGAAATGAAAACATCTTCAGATTGCAAGCAAAACAGCGTGGGCCTAGGTTTGAGCCTTGGAGTGTTTGGAAATATTTATTTCCTGAGATTTTGGGAAAAAATGCTGTTAGGAATGGTTCTCAAGGAAGGAGAAGATAGATCCTGAGTGTAACAGTGTTTGGAACAAGAATGGAGGGCAGAGTGGAAGACAGATGTAGATGTCTCAAATACTTATTCGAAGTTTTCATTAAAATTGAATTGTGTAAGGAAAAATGATCTAGCATGCGTTCAATTTCACTTGCAAGATTAATTTTTTCATATATGAAAATAACCATTTTAAAATGTTTCACATCTTAGAATCATAGAATCATTTAGGTTGGAAAAGACCTTTAAGATCTTTGAGTCCAATCTGAAGTGTAACTGCCAAGTCAGACGTCTTAAACAATGTATACAAGAAAAGTGTGTTTCCTAAAGAAAGCTATTTCTGAACAGGAATGTAAGTTTTCTGTCACATCATTTTCGTATTTGTCAATTTTCCTAACTATGTTTCAGTGCTTCAAACTACTGCAAACAGTGTTTAGGATTTGAGTATGAATGTGTTGTCCAGGGAGTTAGGAAAATAGGCAAGAAAATTTTCCTGTGTCATCTCAAAAATATGAAATTTTATTCTTTTCTTTTTCTTGTGAGTTAATGCTTTCCAGAAGGACTTTCTTGGATAGTGCTCTCTTTAACCTTCAGCTCTTTACAGGTATGTTGGAAAGGAAGAAGTTTATAGAGTTTGCATATATCTATTCTAGTTCTGAAAAGTGAAAATAGAATGTTCCTGTGTACCACTGAAGATTATTCGAAAACGTTTTCCAGTTGCTAAAATTCTGTGTTATAAGACTAAGATTATATCTGCTGTCACAGTGAATTAGTACTGTTTCATCATATTTGGGAGGCTGCTGCCGTAAAATGACCCAAATGTATTAAACTATAATATTTTTAGGTGCAGCTTAATTATATCAAACAAATAATTTATAACAGAAGCATCTATTTGTAATAGAGGATGAGAGCAAAACAAAAAGTTATGATCAAGATGACAAATTTGACAGTAATAATTTCCAAAGGGTGGTAAAATTCTAGCTCTGTTGAAGTGAAGCTATGCCACTGAGAATAAGGTTTCAAATAAATTAGGGGGGAAATCGGTAATAGAAACTTGAGACGACAGATGAGCCCCTGACTGAGATAAATACAAAAAAAAAAAAAAAAAATCAGACAGGAGGTAGAAATGGTGACAGGCTTCCAAGGAGCAAGACAGAACTGTGGTCCAGGCATGGATGGGCAGAATGAGGAAGGTCAAAGCTTGTCTGGAATCAAAACTGGTGAGCGATGAGCAGAACAAGAAGAATGGCTATTGTAAATGCATCAGCAGTAATAATGAAAAGGAAAACCAGTGAAAGTGTGGATGCACTGCTCCATGAAGACTCAGGCTTTACTGTCAGTCTGCCTGCTGTCAGGCCTGCTAGGTTGTCTCCTAGTAGCAAAACTTGGGGAAAGGAAATAGCAGCCACAGTAGGGGAGGATGGAGTTAGAGTCTATTTAAATAAGCTGGTCTATGGGACCAGGCAGGACATACTGAAGGCCTCTGAGGCAGCTGACAAGTGTCATGAGGAAGCTGCTGTCTGTCATCTCTGAGAGGTCAAGGTGGCTGGAAGATGTTCCTGATGCCTGGAGAAAGGCACCTCTGCCAAAAAGGCTGTGAGTGCTGTTGGACAACAAGACAAACGAGGT